AAGACAGGAAAACTGCCGCGTAGGGCTTCCAGAGCCGTAGATCTTTAAAGGAGTGCGCCAACCACATCCCTCTCCAAGGAGCCGAGGATGGGTTTGGACCGCCGAGCTTTCAGTTCGCAGCAAAAGCTTCGCCACTGCGCCACCAAGGCTCCTGGATGAGGCTAGAAAGTCTGAACTGAGGGCACAGCTCTGGGGAAAGATCTCTTTTAGCATCTGTGGCCCTGCATTCCTCGACTCCTTGATGACCTCCATGGGGCTTGTACCTTTCCCTCCCTGGTGTGTGCTGGTCTCTGGGTCAGAGCCCCGGTGATGCTGACCACGAGGTCAGCAGTTTGACCCCACCTGTCTGCCCTTAGGGAGAAAGATGAGGCTTCCTGGTCTTGAGAAGATGTACAACCTCAGAAACCCAAAGGGCCAGTTGTACTCTTTCCCAGAGTCAGAACAGACTCAGTGACAGTGGGTTTTGGTTTATCTCTGGGGCGGATCTGCTCTTTAGTTTTATCTCAGGAGTGGGTGGGTTTAAGACGCGCCCTGCACTGCTACGGCCTCATAAACGTAACTGAGAAACCCCTGTTCCCAAATGAAGGAACCCTGGTGGCATAATGGGTTACCAGTGGACTGCTAACTGCAAGGTCAGCAGTTCAAAACCACCAACCACTGCATGGGAGAAAGATGAAGCGTCCTACTTCCATAACGATTTATAGCCTCCCAAACCCCAAGGGCAGTTTCACTCTGTCTTATAGGCTCCCTAGGGAGCCCTGGTGGTGTCATAGTTCTGAGCTGGGCTGTGATCTGAGTGGTGGGCAGTTCAAAACCATCAGCAGCTCAGCGGGAGCTTGGTTTGGTTTATAAGGTCACTACAAGTCAGAAATTACTTGATGGCAGTGAAATTCCCAAATGGGATTATATCCACAGACATTGGGGGTTAGGATTCCCAGACACATTTTGGGGCACACATTCATTCCATAGCCAGGCAGGTGCCTCAAGGCTGGTGCCCTCAGATCCATGAACCAAATTTTCTCCTGAATTCGAACAATTCCGGTTGGGACTCTTTTTCCAAGGGCAAACATCATCTAGGTTGCACACCCCGCAGTCTGGGGCTGCTCTCCCTCCAAGCAGCCCACATGAACGTTCCAGCAAGCTCTCACCGAAGGGGAGGTCGACTCACATGGACCAACCAAAGGTGGAAGGACATCCCCACAATGCCAACGTGGCCTCCACCGGCAGCCACCATGACTGAGGGCAAAGGAAAGGCTGGTGGAGATGCAGGGAGCGTGTCCAGAGTTGGACTGGTACAGGCTCACCCTTGCCAACCCCGTGGTAAAGAGGAAGAAACTCCAAAGTCAAGCCATGAGCATGAACCGTGTGGGGCCCAGGCTGCCTGCGCTGAGTTAGGACCCCCCAGCTTCTGGCAGTGTCTGTCGCCTAGGGACAAGCGGCTGATCTCTCTGGGCTTCCTCTCCCCATCTGAACAGCTGGGAAGACAAGAACCTGCGCACCTGCTCCCTCAGACTAGGCCTTGCTGTGCGGGCCCCACGCTCCCCGGGGTAAATACTAGGCCT